ACCATTTTGAACTTGTATGTTCTGAGATAGCCATTCACTCTGCGAAGATCTAAAATTGGACACAACCCCCCATCTTTTTTGGGAACCAGAAAATACCGGCTGTAGTAGCCTGACTCTCTGTCTGGTAGGGGAACATGTTCTAGGGCCCCTTTGTACAGCAGAGCCTGCAATTCCTGTGTCAACAAATGCGCTTGTTCCGGTTTCACGGAAGTGGAGACCACGCCATTGAAACGTGGAGGACGATGCACAAACTGAATCCTGTAGCCTTTCTCTACAGTCCTTTCGACCCACAGAGAGATATTTTGCAGTAGCTTCCACGCTGCCAGTTTTTTTTGAAAGGGGCACAAATTTGGACACTTCGCTTTGCTGGGGGGATGTTAGATGTCCGGTGTCCTGAAACATGGCAGGAGGCAGCCGAACATGTAACATTTCGCTGGAGACCGCTGCTCCCCGAAACACCAGTGATGGCGGAGGGTGCCGAGAAGAAGCCCCTAGTTTTTGTTGGAATTTTACGTGCCCCTCCCCGAGGGGACACACCCCCACGGTCCTGGGCGCACCACCCTCAGGACTTCTTCTTTGAGGAGATGATGCTCCTCAGGTCTGGTCTCTTAAAGGCGGTCTGTGGAGTGCGGCGAGCCATTCCCCAGTCTCTGCGAGGAGGCACATGACTCGCCACACTCTCTTTCTGGGCTTCTCATAGAAACCAGACCTGCTCGGGACACAGTGGGGAAGAAACTTCACGAAAGCTTCATCGTAATGCTTCACCTCCCAGAACCTTCTGACGACTTTGTTGACAGAGCCGCCAAATAGGCTGGAAGGCGAGATGGGGGCATCAAGGAGGAATGTCCAGTCCTTCTCCTTGATGTCAATGAGGTTCAGCCACAGGTGCCTCTCTGTGGAGACCATAGCAGCCATTGAACGGCCGATGGTACGGGCCGTCTGCTTAGTCGTACGGAGACACAGGTCTGTGGCCTGGCGAAGTTTGGAAAATGTCGCCTCATCGATACTCCCACTCGTGCTCAAGTCCTACAGCAGGTCAGCCTGGTACGCCTGCAAGATCGCCATGGTGTGCAGGGCAGCACCAGCCTGACCCACTGCTTGGAACGCTTTCCCCACCAGCGAAGATGTCAGTCTGCAAGGCTTGGCGGGGAGCATAGATTTTTTCAAAGAAGGGGAGAGATAGCCCATGAGCGTCTCTTCCACCTGGGGCATCATCACGATGATTTGCATCCACGATGCTCGAATAAATCGACGTTGATGGCACAAAGACATGGGACGAGTAGGGCTTACTCCATGAACGATATAACTCGTCATGGAGATCGCCAAAGAAGGGGAGAGACTGTCACTGAGGTCCCTCCCCCCGGCCACCTGACAGAAATCTGTCATCCAGCTTCGAGCGTTTGGAGGTCTCCTGCAGCCAGTCCAGCTTTAATCTGTCGACTGCCCATGTCACCACCTCGAGTAACTCCTCATATGCTTTATCCTCGCGAGAGGAGTGCTCTGAGGAGGCGATCTCCATCTCCGCAGAGGCAAGAGATGAAGTGTCCTCCGCCCATTCTGAAGAAGTGCGGGACACACCTCCCAATCCAGCTATAGCACGAGAGAAAGGGGCAGACCCGTCTCTCGCGCCTCAGCCAGATCGACATGCAACCCCCAGGATCTTAACGAGGGAGTGGCGGCTCGCTCCTCTTTGAAGAAAGCAAGCCGCATGCGAAACACTTTGATGGGCAAAACGTCACTGTGCTTGCACTCTCCCTCGAGCCCGATCATCCCCCAAACACTTGAAGCAAAACTTATGTGTGTCATCCTCTGAGATGAGCCTCAAACAAGGAGGCACGCATTTCTTCACGGACTCCGACATAGTAATATTTGTTTTCTTTCTTTTAAAGAAAAGATAAACTGCAATGCAGCATGGAGAAAATTCTCTCTCACACACAAAACGATCCTTGAAGACAAAGAAACCTAAATTTGTGTCCGTTTCACATCTATTTATAACCCCTCAGGTGCACGCAATCAAATGATGTCACCTACCGAGGCGTGTTTGACACACATGATTCACAACCGGTCGAACAAAGAATGTTCTCATAAGCGTTATTGAAAAGCAGCATCGAGAGTAGCTTTTGATAGGGTTCTCAAGAACCTTAAGTATGCTGAGCTGGCAGTCAACGCGGAATGACAAGGCTGGAAAGCAAGAAATAAAAAGATATTAAAATTAATTTGCTGAAGCAAGTATGCTAATATTAGCTTGCTTTTATGAGTGTTTAAACTCTTTTATCATGACGTGTTTTATTGGACATATAAGCTCTTCACATCACAAGTGCAATGCTGTATCAAGTGAGCTAGCAAGCAAATTTACTGCCTCAGAAAAGCTATACATGTGGAATGAATTATGTGATGCATACATCAAAATGTATTCGGTTACAGATAATGCGGTATATAAAATAATAAAGTGGTAAGTGTTTTAAGGGCCAAAACAAGAAACCACGCAAAAAGTTTTTATTAGTGTCTTACTGCCTCTAGCGTTCTTTTCCGCTGGAAACTGCAGGGAAATGTATTGGTATGTTTTTGCAGTTTTGCAAAAATGTAGCCAGTGTCATGTATTTCAGAAGAGCCTGGGTTGGAGTAGAGAGAAAGTGAGGAGAGAGGATGTCTTCTGTTACATTACCCAACAGCAATGACTAAAGTAGATGTCCTTCCCACAAAGAGATGAAGTCATAGATTTTCAGAAGTTTGGTGGTGTCCTTTTCCTAATCTGATCAGCAAGACTCCAGGTCATGATGCCACAGACAGCTGGAATCAAATTATTGTCAGTTCCTACCACACTACTGCCCATCAACCCACTTCCTGTCACTCACACACACAACCAAACACAGATGCCCTCTGTCTGGCTAAATAATGTACACATAAGCACCTAGAGAGTTGCCAACCAAGTTGCACTCAATGATTGTGTGCTTGGGTGTCATTATTTTCTTGTGCACTGTAAAGTTGCATTATGATATCTTGTATTTTTGCATACCACTATATATTAATTGTTTGTTTTTGTGTACATGAGTATGTGTGGGTTTGTGGAGCAGTTATTGATAAACCTGAATCAACATCCAAATCTGTGTGTGGCAACACTGGACAGCTGACTGATACTTATTAGCAAACATCTAACAGAGCTGTAAAAAGAAAACTGGTGTAAAGTATGTTAGTAAAGCTACAGATTAAATTATCTAAATGTATGCTTCCTGACCTGGACTGCTTTAAAATTGGTTTAGAAAACAGAGCTCAGGCAATCAGCAGCTTGAAGTATGATGCTTTCATGAATGTTTTTTGTTTTTTTTTCTCCAGTAGACCTGTATCAAGTTTATCACATCATAGAAGGATTTCCTCTATAAAAATGCAGTGATCACAATATGTATTTGGACACTTAATATGCACTTAAATATATTATAATCACTTAAATTTTAACATGCAGTATGTTCTGCTGTTTGTGGAGAAGCTCATTATTTAAAAAATCCCATCACTGGATCTGTTTTTTTTCTTTTCTTTTACTTGTATCTCATTCAGAAAAATTTACAAATCTTTAATTCATTTCATTAATTTGAGCATTTCAATTAAAAATAGTGCTTTCAAATGATTAATTATGATTAATTTCATCCAAAATAAAAAATTATGTTTACAAAATATGTGTGTACTGTGTATATTTATTATTTATGTATAAATACACAAACATACATGTATATATTTAAAAAAATAATCAAATATATAATCAAATAATCAAATATAATTTATATTATATATACATATCAATATTTTATATATAAACAAAACATATTTTTCTTAAATATATACATGCATGTGTGTGTATGTATACATAATAAATATACACAGTACACACACATATATTATGTAAACAAAAACTTTTATTTTGGATGCGATTAATCATTTGACAGCACTAATTAAAATATTAAATTTTTAATAACAAAATTCCCACAACATGTCTACTTTCAAATGAATTTGTACAATTTGTATGGAAAAATAAAATTTTCATCCCATGCTTGTATTAGAACCATGTTTTCAGTTTTACAAGCATGTGTTGCTAACTTGCATAAACTCAATTCAATTTTGTAATGCAAAGAAATAATACAATTTTATATAATCTCTGATTTATATTAAACCTAACAACTCTCATTGCTTTGTCCACTACATATGACCTAAATTAAGCCTCACTGACCAGCATCTTATTGCAGCATCTACCTCTGTGATTGTGAGCACTATAAAAAAAAGCATTCTATTGATCAACATTAGATTGCAAAAAAAAAATTATTTATTTTGTAATTTCAAGATTTTGTGTGGTTTAAAAATTACATTTCCTAGTTTGATCATGAACAATAGACATGCTAGTATTCAACATAATTTTCACTGCGATAAGTACTATAAGTACGATAGATATTGAAAGTAATGCATTCCCCTGATCTTGATGTCTGATAACTTTTCTGATAATCAGCTTCCAGACATTCTAGATATTAAAAAGGGACTTATGAATGAGCTGTTGCACATCCAAGATTCTTAAATGTATCCTAAGGGTAGCATTTTCTCATAATAAATATATCAAACACAGAAATTAGCTTGTTTCAACTCAAAATGAGTTTCTGCAGCACCTGTTATTTACAATTACCTGAAACATGAAAATCAAAGACTGCACAAGAGCACATTCATTTTAATACAATGCATTTGATATTTTGCATTGCATTCTTTTTTGCATTTTATTACAAACATTTTTACTTATGAAACTTATGCATTTGAAACTGTCCTTGAACACCCTCAAATTCCTGGAAAAATCAATACGTGCATTTTGTGTGTTGTGTAACTTTACGTGGAGCTGGGAGGGAATCAAGAAAAGAGGGTTCGGGGGGTGGGGTCACTCTACGATATAAAACAGGGGTTGCCAATCATCTTCACTAAATTTGCCTTCTGAGCTGCATACAGAAAGACAACCCTACACATCTACAGACATGACGACGGTTGTGTTGAAAATGCTGTGCATTCTGCTCTTTGCGGTGTTCATCTCTGCTCAAGTCATGCCCATGACTGACTTCGACCTGGAAAAGGTGAAAAAAAAATTGCATTTACCTTGCAGTTTTACCATAAAATAATATAAATTGAGGTATCTTGATATTGTCAGGGAGTTTTGGGGAATTCCTCATGTTAAGTTTGGCTAAAATAGTTCTAGACGCGTTATGTTCACATTTTCCAATAAACTCTGCAGATGGGAGGAAAGTGGTATCTTGTTGGCTTTGCTACAAATGCAAAAAGGTTTGTGACACATCACAAGGCTGACATGAAGATGGCAACTGCCGTAATGGTGCCTACTGAAGATGGAGACCTTGACATCAGTTACGGTCATCTAAAGTAAGCTTAAATAAACTTAAGTTAGCTTTGTTGTACTGTTAAAGGAGAATAGTTTTGATGAATTTTCTCATAATTTGTAATTCAAGTGGCAGTCGTGCCCTAATGGTTTGAGAGTTCGACTTGTAACCCAAAGTGAGTGTGTGTGTGTGTGCACTTGGATGGGTTAAATGCAGAGCACAAATTCTGAGTATGGGACACCATACTTGGCTACACGTCAAGTCATTTTCACTTTAACTTTCATAATTACAAAATAATGAATTTTAATTGCTTAACTTGTTTCTTAGGAGTGATGGTTCCTGCTTCAGGATGCATCATCTTGCCAAGAAAACTGAGATTACTGGACGCTTTGTCTTCGACAACGAGCGTAAGTCTCTTGGTTTTTGTTTTTATGCATTGCTTTTTATAATCAAACGCCTATTTCTTGTAGCATTTGGACCAATCAGACAGACAACTATTTGTTATATTTAACAAATAATATCTAACGCCCCCTCACCTAACCAAAGGGCCAACTATGAGGGTCTATGGACCCTTCCCCCGAAATGCAACTAACACCTCAAAAGGGCAGAACAGGCCTCTGGTTCCATGGCAACCAAAGACAAACCATCTGATAACACTAGTTTTATTGCTCCAA